AAAAAAGAAAAGCAAAAAAAAAAAGGTTAAAAAAAAAAGAATAAACAAAGTATATATATTGTAAGAAAAATAGAAGTTTAGGGCCAGCCTGCTGTAATATATATATAAATTTATCATACTATAATATAGTAGTATACCGTAGCTCAGAGATGTGAAATGCCTTGAACTTTCGGGGAGGTGAATATCGGCACTGCCGGTTATTTGTTTTAGCAAACTATTTTAATTAATTAATTTTTCTTTTGCAGGGTTACATATTTAAAGCATTTTTCTTGCTTATTTTGTAACCTATTCCTTTATCTACCACCTTTGTATTTCTTTTGCTGATAATTGTATTGTTTGATATTGGAATAAAATTATTGGAATTGAATTGAATTGAATTGACCAAATAGAAACTGGACAGCGCCACTAACGAGAAAGTAAATCCGAAAAAAAACATAGAGATATTATTGCTGCGAAGCAGCCAATTCATATTCTTGACAGCAATTTGACCTCTGAAAGGTCATTGTTTGTCAAAAATCAATCGCCTGAGACAACTGAAAAGCGGAGTTTCCATCTTTCGTTCTGCCGGGTACAATCAATTACTTTAGGCGACGTTTGTAGACTAACCTACTCGTACCAACGTCGGCATGTCGCGACGCTGGAGTACTATTCAGCGTTTTTACTATATTTCTAGGTTTCCTATTTCTACGTTTAATCGGCTCATCTTATCGTCATCATTATTGTCTTTCATCATCGTCACCAGTATCATATTTTATTATCATCATCGTCTTTCATCATCATTGCAATCATTCAACAGATGTTTATAAGAGACAGGTTGTGGACTGGCATAGTGTTTGCGGAAATAAATACCATTTTATACACATGCGCAGATCGATTCGCCAGCAGCGAGTCATCGCCAGCAGCAGCGAGCCATCGCCAGCAGAGAGATGTCACTGCAGCAAAACACTATTTTACCAACGCTGTTCTAATAATATATAGACAATGGGTCGTGCTCATATTATTTGTTATATTTTTATTATTCATTATTTTCACTTGACTCGCATAAATAATTTTGTTCGAAGAACATTTTATGCAGTTGTACTTCGCAGCACTTCACTTGCAATTTGCAATTTCTAGTAATAAGAATACTAGAGCGCTAACAGCAATGTATTCGATGTTCGAAATACGCAGAGCTGTGTGTGTGTGTACCATCCAAGATGGCTGCCATAGATTCAGCCAATCAAATTTCGCCTGAGCACTATCATTTTCAATGGCGCCCTCAATTTATACAGAAAGTTCAGTACAGCTAGTTACCCGTATTTTGAAACTCGAGCGTTGCGGTGCATGGGTGGAATGTACACGATTTCAATTCTTTTAATTATTTGAATAAGATGCTCTACTTGGCCTCTTTTTGGCTACGACAGTTTAATAATTTGTCATTATCAATACTAATTACCATTAATGAAATAATATTCAGTCAGAGGGCTTATTTATGGTGGGACCCTCCAGAGGCTGTCTCTAAGCCTGAAGGTGGCGCTTTCCTACGGCAGCCATCTTGGATGGTACACATACACAACTCTGCATTGCTCCGCCATCTTGTCAGCACTCTAGTTGTTTAATAGCTCTATGGAAAAAAGAAATCGAGTATGGGACGCCAATTAAATTAGGTATGGCGTGCACTTAGTGCAATAAAGAGTGAGTAACCCAAAATTAGGGTCTGGAACCGAGGCTAGTTGTCTTTGTCAAATGTAAATTAAAACAGTCATGGTTTTTGATTGACGTTTGGAACAGAAATTGGAGAGGGGTTTGATCAAGTCAGAACTACGTTTTGACATTTGAATTACATTTTAAAGAAAATAGATCTACATTTTGGAAAATTTTAACTACGTTTTAAGAACTTTTTAAGAATTAGACATTGAATTTTGCAATTACATTTTGATTTTCACATAGATTTTTGCTGCTTATGGCACCATAGTAACGTACAATAACAATAGTTGGCACACCCCCGTTTAATAATGGGGTATTTCTAAACGTTACGGTAATCTTGGGAAATTCCATCATGCTCAAAGTTTAACAGGTACCGATACCGTTGGTTGCATGACTTCAACATTGAGTACATTTGAGAGTGGAAAAACAAAATCGTGCGAAATTGTAAGTCTTTATTTTTATCTCTATGATATTTACTGCAGTATACCTGTTATATACCCCTTCTCGGAAATAAAAATATAAGGGTGGGGCGGATCCAGAATTGTTCAAATGTTGGGGGCAGGGGCACAACATATTCAGAATAGATATGCGAGTAGCGCTAATGTCAAAATATGCATTGAAATTTTAAAATTTAAGTGGCAAAGCGGGATGGGGGTGGGAAACAACAGGAAATTACTAAACAAATACCTGCTTGATTACATAGTCACCAGTCTGCTTTAATTCCTCTTCACAGTTTCTTTTTATTTAAAATATTGGTGTTTCAGGTTGTTTTCACTTTGTTTTATTCCGTATGTTTAACTGTATTTACCGAGGGTAACCCAAAAACAACAGTTAGCTGTCAATCATGGGCCCTCACGTAAATAAATACAAACAAAATACAATACAAACGGCAAGCCAAATTTAATATAAAGGCCTATATAAAACAATATATTAAAATATTAAAATTAAAAACAGTGTATTTAAAAATATAAATAGAAAAATATGAAATATGTATAATAAATTAGACTTTAGCACTACATATCACAATTGAATTAAATAAATAGGCATACTGTATTCCTCCATCCACTAGTGTAGGCCTACAATATGATTTTGGACTTCGACCCTACAGGCTATCAGTACCGCCACACTGTATGTAGAGTGAATGATCGTCACTTTGCGTGTGACGTTTTGGATTTCTGTGTAAATATGTATTTATTCCAGTTCTAACATTGTTTTGTAAGAGTGGTCCATCCAGCCAAAGCTGATCATTTGGTACCTTCAATACAAACAAATAAATATAAAACGAACCTAATATTAAGCTTGAAAAGTCTGAAAAATACACAACAAAAATGAAATCAAGAGTAAATATTTAATAAACGTTTATAAAATAGAGAGGGACAGCTAACTAAATATGAAAGAAATTATAAATGTGTTCGTTAAAATTAGCTGTTCCTCAAATCAATGGATATTTTTAGTAAAGCCATAATCATCTGAGATGAAATAACCCCTCTCCAAGAAACGGAAATTTTAGCTACCAATTGTCTGCAATCATTTGGTAACAATTGCCATTAGTTTTGCCCTGCGAGATATAAGGTGATGTATCTAAAGCCTACGGGGCACAAAGCCACGAAAAAAATGTCAATGTATATGCAAGTTTTGATATTTATCCTTTGATACAATATTTATCCAATGATGTATTTTCATTTGTAATAAAACTGAATGAAATTGAATCACATATCCTCTCATAAATTTCTGAAATGTGAAATTAATTTACTAAAAATGGCTTGAAAACTTCTTCTCTAAAATAGTTTCATACTCATCTACACACTCTACTTATCATACCATATTTAACCATATTTAACTCCCACAAGAATGCCCTCCTATCCCTTGTCGTACATCCTGCTTTGAAATATCGTTCCTTCCATATTGTTTTGTTTTTGCATGCTCCTTGTCTTTTTACCCTTCCACAACCCCTTCCCTTATAAAGCAAGCTCTCAACATGTAGGCCAATATCAACTCACCTTTTCAGTCTCTTCATAACAATATAAAAAGGAAAAATTACTCAAAAAGGTAATGAAATATAAATATCCTAACTCGCATTTTCAGCTCGCATTTCCCAACTCGCAACTCGCATTTTCCAACTCGCAACTCGCATTTTTCAATTCGCACTCTGAGAAATTTCACTCTGTGAAATGTGCAAGATGGAAAAATCCATTATATGAGTTTGCGTACGGAAAATATGTGAAGTAGGCTAAAGAGGTATCCATACGTTATAGATTACATATTGATATGTTACAGGTATCTATCAAGAAACTATATGACAATATTTTCTCAAATTTATGTGAGTTTAATTTACAATTAATTCACAAAATGTTGTCAATTCAATTCCTTCAACCAATAAAACTTTGGTCTAGACACTTTATATTATTAGATGCTTGATACAGATTTAAATGGTGCAAATTATGTTTTGTAATGACACCAGTTTCCGTAACTTGCATTTAAAATAATTGTATCTCTACAATTATTTCATAAATATGCTAATCATTCTCCAACCCTGAAAACATAGGTATGAACACTTTACTTGTCATGATTGAATGATGCAGAGTTACTGCGAATGATCAATTTTCCTTTAGTGGCGGAAGGTAATTAGAACATGTCATTCAGCACAACCTTATGAACCAGAATCAGCAATAACACCAACTTTTGCAATTTGTTTGACTCAAGCTCTAAACCTGCTTGTCTGTCTCATTCGAAAGGCGGTGCCCGACTAAGCTAAGCTACTCCGAGAGATTTTGAGCGGACGCCAGGCTACACTCGATTACGTTCTCGTCGGGGAGTGCCCCCAACCGTCGGAAATATCCTGGTGCCACCCCTGGCTCGCACAGATTTTGTTTAATCTTTCCTTATCATAGCATTCTCATTTATGATGGTTTTAAGACACAAAATCCATATTTGAAGAAATAATGAGATACAAATTTTTTAAATATTTAAAACCTGGGGGAGGGAAAGGTGGGAAAGAGTGATTACGCCTCTGTTTCCCAGATTTTTGAAATCTGTATCTCATTCAGCGTTCCCGAGGTTATCATCAAATATGCTTTTTGTGTCTTAGGAAAATCAGTTGTACAACTTATTAAAAATGTTTTTCCTCCGGAGCCTGATTTTAACGAATTGTGTGTGTGCATACCAGATAATATTTGTTTAATATTTGTTTTTAGACTGATTTACATTGACGATTTTAAACATGAGTAACCAAAGCGAATCAGATACCATGCGTCAGCTGGGTAACAAATACTACAAAACTGTTACTAATGACATGAGTCCTCTGCTACAAAAAGGACGACTAGAACAAGCACGGCACCACTACACAGACGCCTTGGGATGTAGCTCTAGCCCAAAAGAAGCAGCATCTGCCAACAAAAACATAGCAATGACATCATGGAAGCTTGCAAAACTAGAAGTCAATCAGAAAACACGAAGTGGTTTAGCGTTGCACTTGTACAAAGAGGCACTCAAGGGTTTCTCAGAAGCCTGGGAACGCGGTCAAGATGCTGAAAATGGCCACCCGTGGTCTGATAATGTAGTTCAGAAAATGCACCAGTGTTTACAGGAGAGTCTTGACTTTGTTACGAACCAGCCAAATATGTGGGACGAGAAAAAAAAGCTGTTGGCAATGGCATGCCAATTTGTTCCAACAAGTGCTTCCAAGGCTGAGTTGTCCATCTTGTACGTAGAGTGTCTGCTTTCGAAAGCAATCAACCTTCTACAGGAAGGCGTGTTTGGTAAATCTAAGAGCTTTTTATATGATTGCTATCAACCTTTAGAGGAAGCTAGACGCTATGCTGGAAGTGACAAAGATATGATGTCGGAGGTCCGAACCCTTCATGAGGATGTTGTGATGCAGACATCTGTAGTTGAGGTAATATTTGATTTCTAAATAATATGTGTGGATCTAATGTTACTGAAGGTTAAAGACTTCTACCAAGAATATAATAAAGCTGCTTAATATTATTGTGAAAGTTCATAATGGATGCTAAATTGAAAAGACTGTGTTACTGTATATTCAAAACAGTTCTATTTCTACTTTTCAAACAAAAAAAAGCTTATTCTCTTAGGAAAAAATTGCTTTAACATATAGGCCTACTAGTGTGCAAAAAGTAATTTAAAACAATATTTTTTTTTGTGTTTTATGGTATTTTATACATTTGAGATTTAGCCTAAACGTTATAAATGTGTTTTTTTTTTATTGTTCTCAAAATGTAAAATAGGCAAGACAAGCGTTAGACACCGCAGACGACCTCAAGGAAAAGATTCTGAAGACAGAGGAAGAGTTGAGCATAGACATGGTCTGGGAAGTTCTTGACTGGTACAAGAAAGCAATCCTCCAGACAAGAGAAAAAGACATTGAGCTGGAGGCCATCGCTATGAGCCGGATAGGTGTGATTTACGACAGCATACTAAAGTTGAGGTCCAAAGCCAGACCATATTTTAAGTAAGCAGATCGTACATTTTAATTATTATGAATTGTTGAAAAGTGATTCTTCATTTTAAATACTTATAACACTTTTTAAACAATAAAAATGTCAATAGCATATTGGAGAGAATTCTATTTCATCCTGTTTTATTTTTAATGTAATGCTTAGAAAATGTAAAAACTTTATAACAAGTCCAGGGCAAAGAAAATTTAAGAAAGAGAGAGTAGACTGATGCGATTGATATTAAGTTTAAAGAATTGAACTTATTACAAACTCAGTTTTGATAACTGCCTAAAAGAATTGTGATTCTCTATCCTCAGAGGGGCAATAACCCTGGCGCATAGTCTCCATCCTCGTGTTCTCACCCAGGAGATATGGTACCAAGTCTGTGCACAGACGCTTGAATCTTACCAGATGAAGACAGTTGCCGAAGAAACTCGTGCATGGATGAAGGAAAGAGAAGAGGCTCTGAAAAAATTGAAACCAAAAATCAAAAAATTTCAGGGCATCGAAAATAATTACGAATGTCTGAAGTACATCTACAAAAATCATCCACCAAAGAAGGAGCACCACAAGTTGCCAGATGATTTACCCGAGCCATCAGAGATCAAAGGCTCTCAGGTGAAGAAGTGTCTGCAGAAAGCCATTTTACACTACCATCCAGATCACAACTCGAAGGAGGAGTTTGGTAAGGAATGGCACGTCCTATGCGAAGAGATCACCAAGGTGTTTACACACAAGTACAACTGCATAAAAGGGGTTGATGTGTGAACGAATAAGCAAGCATATAGTTTTTAACTATTAAATGTACTTTTAAATCTATCTACTTAAAGCATTTTTTATGATTTTGTTTAATTATGACTTTTTTTATACTGCATATCAGTCTTAGAATTAAAGAGATCATCAAGGTGCTTACTTTCAAGTGTACTTGCATGAAAGGAGTGAATGAAAATGAAGGGAGTGAATGTCAATAACCAAGAGCTGTTTCAATCAATCGCGACCAAATATATATATTTTGTAGATGTACTTCAGACATTCGTAATTATTTTCGATGCCCTGAATATTGATATTGTCTATATATATATATATATATATATTTATTTATTTATAAGGTCCGTTGGTCCGAAATTAATATATTTAAAATATGGGCAAAAAAAATTAAACAAGAAAACACATAATAGACCTATATTAGCTAACAGTAACAATAAAAAACTATTGATTGTTGCAAGATGCCCAACTCTACAACATCCTATGAGCAAACAATTCAATTGACACAAGGTATAATATAACCTTATTATTAGACTTCACGTGAAAAGATAATTACATATTTTTTAGGCTATACTTTCACGCAGGTTCAACGTCAACTGGCCCATGTTTCAGCGGCTTAGTTCGTTTGTTTTGTGATGTAAACGAGTTAGGCATAAATAATGTTTGTGTAAACTTTATTTGTAACTTTCCCTTTTAAAACCTAATTTGGAGTTTTTTTACATGTAGGACCTAACTTTTGTTTATTACACATTAGAGTACTAGAGTATTTGCGAAACCTGATTTTTGTAAAGTATATAATATTATATAAAATTAATAAAGCTGCATAAGCAGAGTGCCAAACTTTATTTGTAACTTTCCCTTTTAAATCTTAATTTAGAGTTTTTTACAGTAACTTTCCCTTTTAAATCTTAATTTAGAGTTTTTTACATGTAGGGCCTAACTTTTGTTTATTGCACATTAGAGTACTAGAGTATTTGCGAAACCTGATTTTTGTAAAGTATATAATATTATATAATATTATATAAAATAAATCAAATATAAATAGGGCCTATTCTTTAAAGCCAACAAAAGCATAGATCACATAATACAAAAATCACATAATAGGCCTATATAAATATAAAAATAAAAATCACTCAAGGAAGCAGATTAAAAAAAAACATTCAGGGGTCAAGAACGTCCCTAAATTAAAGGCGACCAAAGAGCCCAGCTGACATAACAAACAGTTTCAATATGTATTATAACAATTATCCTTGGAAAACCAGGTCACTAAAATAAGGAACATTTGGACCAACAGGCATTCGGACCAAAGACCCTTCGGACCAACGAGCATTCTGACCGAAGCTCACCCAACTAAAATTAGGAACTTCGGACCAAAGACCCTTCGGACCAATGGGCCGTCGGACCAAAGACCCTTCGGATTAAAGGTACGCACCCGGACCCACATAGAAATCTACTGACCCCATGTATGTTTCTTCCAATGGATATTCCAACTCCGCCGGTGGTCAACACAAGCACCACTGCTACAAACACAGCAGCATCCCAGTGTTGTTCTCTTAATCCATCTGCTCCTCCGTTTGTGTCGACATCAACTAGACAAATGAATGTTGGCAATCCATTGGAAGGAACATACATGGGGGTCAGAAGATTTCTATGTAAGGTCCGTTGACGGCCATCTTCATTTTGAACGTTGGAAACTGGGATGTTAGGATGTTTCGACAGAACAACGTATGGAGTAGCCCACCTATCCGCAAGTTTCTGCTTCCCGATAATGTTTTTCTTTTGTATGAGCACTCGATCACCTGGTTCAAGGGGGAGGGGGGGGGGGCTGGGTTGACCTTTTGTCATAATTGCGCTTCTGCTTTTCTTTGGCTTTAGTTGATGACTTCGCCGCTTGGTTATATACCAGTTGTAATCTTTCGCGGAACTGCAACACCAGCTCACCATAGTCATGACCATCATCGTCATGGTTACTGCCAAGTCTAAATATTACATCGATTGGCAGGTTGGCATGCCGGCCGAACATCAGGTAGAAGGGAACGTACCCTGTAGCATCGTGTGTCGTGCAGTTGCATGCATGTGCCATATCGCCCAATACTCCTTCCAGTCCTGTTTACGATCAAGTAGAAGGGTCCCAAGCATGTCGATAAGTGTTCTGTTAAACCGCTCCGTCGTTCCGTTACCCATTGGATTATAAGGCGTAGTGCGGGACTTTTCTCCGGAAACTTTGCACAAACCTCGAATTACCGCACTTTCGAAATTACGTCCCTGATCCGAGTGTATGCGTTTCGGAAAGCCGTAGTGTCGAAATACGTTCTGGAATAAAACCTTAGCGACAGTTTCAGCAGTCTGATTTTTGGTCGGATATGCTAAAGCATATGGTGTGAAATGGTCTGTGATGACCAAAACATTCTCATCCGCCTTTTGAACGCTCAAGGGCCAATAAATCTATACCTATAAGATATGATCTCTCATAATCTGCCGAATGTAGGCCTGATCCTAATGGAATGATAAACGAAAAGCCTAATTTGCGAATGTAGGCATCTTAAAGGAATGAAACGAAAAGCCTAATTTGTCTAAATGTAGGCATATGATCTCAATGGAATGATAGACGAAAAGCCTAAGCTGCCAATTAATTGTATATTTTTTTTTCTGAATTTAATTAAAAGTTGAAATTACCATAAAGTCATTCATATTTCGTCTAAAAATAAAAGGTATTAAAATCATGTTTAAAATATTTAAAAACGTACAACTTATGAATATGCAACAATTTTATATTTCTAGAGGGCGCGCGTCTAATCTAACTAAACTAGAGTTAAAGTCTCGTTTTAAAGGTTCCCATTACAATGTCAAAGAATTTTTTTTTTTTTCAAATAAACGACCAATTTCTCACCTATTGTCATTTTCCTGCTGATTTTTACCTTATGGTACCCAAGAATCATGTTTATTTGCATTTTCATAACTGAAATGGGTGAATTATTGTGGTATTATGTCTTTATGATACTCCAATGGTATGAGTTTGGTTGCAAAGAGCCTTAGTTTGTAAGTAAGTTTTGGTGAGATCAGTCTGATTAAGATGAGATGAAAAAATAAAAACAATTATAATAAAAGTAATAATAATAATTATTATCAAAATAAATAATTCTCGAAGAATTTCATCTGGGTTCAGCAGTAATGAATAGAGTGGTTGTCATTTGCTTTATCAAGGCTACCGAAGCTAGCCGAAACGTAGGTAGTAAGTTCCGTTTTATAATTGGCTTATCTTTAAAGAACAACCACTCTATTCAAAATAATAATAGTTTTAATATACAATTTACTTTTATTAGTTTACATTTTCTAAATTCAAATGCATCATGTAATAATCTTTATACTACTGTAATAAAATGTTAAATTGGTAGACAGGTTCTAGAAGATAAGCACCTCATTATAAAATAACTTTTTTAAAGCTAGAAATAAACATGATACTAATGGTAATTCATTTTTAAACACATTGAAGTCAAATGGTAAGTACAACAGACCTTTCCGGAGTCAATCAAACTTAACAACTGACTAATCTCAAAGATACTAGAAATACAAGATAGAGTTCTCCGCACCAAAAAAGTGTTCCACCGAAATGCATGGTGGGAATACAAACAATGGGACGCCCCCTACAGTTGGATCTAAAAAAACTTCTACCAAACTTTCGTTACCAAGTCGTCGCGTATTTTATTATCAATTGTCAATTAAAAAATTGTACACCGCGATGCGCTATGACGACGTACGGTATTGGAGGGCGTTGCTGTGCAGTAAATTGCAACACATCATACAAACAGGGTCATAATTTATATCGATTTCCAAAGGATAGAGAAAGGTAAAATATTGCATTGACTTTAAACAAAAAATTAGCTATATATATTATAAATATATATTAACATTTTGTTTTTTTAACCGGGAATTGATTATATAGGCCTACAGTAATTACATAAACTTGTGTTGTAAATAAATTTTAAGTGAATGCACATTGTTTTAGAACTACATATATGCAGTTCTAATTTGTGATTAAAAAATATATACTGTATCAGAGCTGTATTCAATGTCAATAATAATGGGTTGGAAAAGCATTGAAATCCTGAGCTAATAGGCCTACCAATAGTATGGATCAATAAAGCACAAGAATTCATAATGATGACTGTATTTTGCACTTCTTTACCGACGTCCCGTACCGGTATTATGAGTTTTTACCGATCACTTTTTATTTACCGTACTAGATATAAAAACAAACTGGAATAGATACCCAGACAGTGACATTGGTGAATACATAACCTCCTTGGTGGCGGTAGAAATCGTTGCTATTATCCAAATAAAACACAAAACAATTAAAGCATAATCATGAATCAGTAAAGAATAAAACAACAATACAGCGCAGAATCGTATGGCTGGCCGCACGCACTCTTAGAGAAAAAGTTTTCCTCCATTAGTGGAAAAGGAAGGGCGCCTTTTGCGTCTGGATATACTTAGCAACAGAAGGGCGCCCTGTACGTTGGGCACGAAGTATAGAAAACTTGCATGGTTAAAAAGAAGGGCGCCGCCTACGTTTGGCACGATTTCCGCCTCATTTTTACTATGCGAGTGCTCTATCTTGTATTTCTAGTATCTTTGCTAATCTGAACAGCCCTAGGAATACGCGCGCGTTTTACAAACACACGTGTTCGCGTATGCTTACCTCCATGTTTTAATTTTAACACTGCCGTCTCTTGTGGGACCTTAGCAACAATATCCAAGGGGCGGAGCTTAGCGGAAAGGTCCATTTATAAATTGGGAGACTATTTTAGTCTCTAGTTTTCCTTGGTTTTGAGTCCAATGTTTAGATTTTGTGAGACTAGTGCCAACTCTTGCTGTGTTTCTGTTGTTGATGCTCCAATAGTAGGGATAGGCTTATAATGCCTTCTAGTGAACCTCCATCGTGACAATGTGAACACAAGCTAAAATAAAAAGAATTGTTAAATTGATAATGTGAATACACACAGAAAATTAAAAAGTACAAACCAGAAGTCATCATCATCATCACCATCTTCATAATCATCTTTACCATCATCATCTTAATCATAGTCATCTACACCACATCATCATCGCCATCGTAATCAACGTCATCTTAACCATCCTCATTCCCATCATCCAATCATCATATCATCATCATAATCATAATCAACATCACCACCATTATCATCGTCATCAACATCATCATCCTAACCATCCTCATTTCCATCATCATCCAATCATCATCATCATCATCATCATCATCATCATCCAATCATCATCATCATGTGTGTGTGTGTGTGTGTGTATGTATATGTATATTT